AATGGTCTATGGAAAAGCTTGCGAATTCTTATGTGAAGGAAATTGTGAGACTTCACGGTGTTCCGCTAACAATTGTGTCGGATCGTGATAGTCGTTTCACCTCAAGGTTTTGGAAATGTCTACAAGAGGAAATGGGTACCAAGTTATGTTTAAGTACAACTTACCATCCGCAGACTGATGGTCAGAGTGAAAGAACGATACAAACACTTGAAGATATGCTGAGAGCATGTACCTTGGAATTCCTAGGTAATTGGGATGAACAATTACCATTGGTGGAATTTTCCTATAACAATAGTTTTCACTCGAGCATTAAGATGGCACCTTATCAAGCTTTGTATGGACAAAAGTGACGTACGCCGTCTTGTTGGCTTGAGGCTGGGGAAAAGTAGTTTATGGGACCGGAGATGGTTCATCAAACTGCTGAAAAGTTGAAAATAATTAGGGAAAGAATGTTAGCGGCTCAGGATCGTCAAAAGAGCTACGCTGACAAAAAGCAAAGACCGATGACTTTTGAAGTTGGGGATTCAATTTTGCTTAAAGTCTCGCCGTGGAAGGGACTTATAAGATTTGGTAAAAGGGGATAGTTGAGTCCAAGGTTTATTGAACCGTTTAAAGTTCTTCAGAGGATTGGGAACCAAGCTTACAAGCTCGAATTACCCGAAGAACTGAATGGAATTCACAACACTTTTCATGTGTGTTATTTGAGAAAGTTCACGGGAGAAGTTCCTGATATAATTCCAATTTCTGAATTGAGAATCGATGAGAACAAAAGGTTGATTGAAGAACAAGAGGCAATTGTTGACCGAAAGACTAAGAAGTTGCGACGCAAGATGGTTGAGTTAGTGCTTGTCCGATGGAAACACACAAATGGGCCGAATCTCACCTGGGAGACGGAGAGTGACATGATGGGTCGCTATCCGCATTTGTTTGTTGAGGTGTGATTCCGGGGACAGAATCATTCTAAGGTGGGTAGAATTGTAACGCTTGTGTTTCTGGGCTTGCCATTTTTAGCAATGTGATAGTCTAGGTTAACCTTTGTAACCCGTTTTGAAATAATAGAAGTGTATTATTTGAGTATTATGTGTTTTGTGCTTAATTGCATAATTATGTGGTTTGATTAATTAAGAATAAAAATAAGCGTCAAAATTGAAGTGTAAAATAAACTTGATAGATAATGTTGTATTAGTTGAAACAAGGTTTCTGAAGATATAAAGAATGCCGAAATCCGAGTTATAACGAAGAAGTTATGACTTGTCGAAGTTTCACGACAGAACCGGCAACGCTGAATGACGTAAAAAGTGGAATTTACATTAGAGCGATATTTAGCCTTAGTGATCTAAACGAGAATCGAAGATCTCGTTGTTAGTATCAAAGCGATAAAAAGTTAGGCGAGAACGGATGTCAAACGAAGAAGTTATGAATTTATAACGAAATTTTCTGTCCCGGCCTATTAAAAATAAATAATAAAAATAAATTCAAAATTAGCCGACGGAGTCTAAACAAAAGTTGTAGAGCGTAGTCTCACCTTCGCGTGGATATAAAGAACGTCAAAAACGGAGTTCGTATGAAGAAGATATGAATTTCCGAAGTTTATTAAATAATTTGTATTTAATTTTAATTGGAAAATTCGGCCTTATCCGAAGGCGAGTCACCGGACTCATCCGGAGTACGCCCAGCGTACTCGAGTACGCCCCGCATACAACGAAGATGTCGACATTCACACTCGAGGACTTCGGATGACGCATGCGCTTACGATTTCGGAGCAGTACGCCCCGCGTACGAGGAGGCTCCAGCCTCCTATAAATAGGATGCGAGGGTTCCGGGTTTATTTGCTAATTTCCTCTCATTTTTGTGCCGAAGCTCTGTACGTAAACCCCCGAAGCCACCCCGAAGCCCCGGTAATATTCCCGAGTCCCGAAGCAAGTCCCGAGATCCCGAAGATCCCGAGAAGTGCGGTTTCCGAGCTGAAGCTCTGCCCGCGAGAAGTTCGATTTTTGTAGAGATCTTCCAGATCTGCTGAGGATTACTACTTCTACAAGCCGTAGTGCTGTCCGATCATCTTCTGATCAAGTGAGTGTGTAGTTACTTTCTTCTAACGCATAATTATGAAGTATTTTATTCGAAATACGTGTTATGTGTATAAATTTGTTGTTATGTGCGTGAATGTATATTCACTCTCTTTAATCTCATAGATCTGATTTGTTTTCTATGAAATACGTGATGGGTTTTGGTCATAAGACATCCTATGTGCTCATACAAACCCTAATGCTTGGATCTAGGTTTCTCTATTGTACATGCTTTGAATCCAAGACTATAAACCCTAATTCTAGCATACAAGTAATCATATTAATATGTAATTAAGTTTAAGATCATACCTTGATTGTTATGTAGCAATAACAATCCCAATTCCTCCTTGAATTGACTTTGGAAGGCTTAGAGTCACAAGTGTCACTCCTCTAATGGTTCACAAACACCATAAGCAAGAGGATGAAGAGGAGAGAGGTTGGAGGCTGCCAAAAACGTGTGTAAACCCTTACAAGAAGCTTAGCCACGTTTTTGAGCCTTAAGGGGTCTTTATATAGTTGGGCTATTAGGGTTATCTAACAAGGAAACCCTAATTTGGATGCTTAAGCCCTAAGCAACCCATAGACTCCTTTAATTAAGCCCATGGACGATTTCCTTATGGGTTTCCCATTAGAATTCGTCCATCCCTTAATATAAGGCAATTTATGGCCCAAATTGCAATTATCTTACAATTACAATTCCAGTTCCTTAAGTTTAATTAATCTCTTTTAGTCACAAAACTAATTACCAATTAATTATTGACTAATATTAATTAAACAATATGATTTCTCCTTTAATATATTATTCCCATAATATATTAATAAATCACATTTAATCCTTTCTCTCCATAATTCATCCTATCAAGTTGCTTTGGTGAAGGCAACCCAAAAGGACCATGCACCATCGGGTCAAGTACATACCAAAATAGTTATGGACTTAGACACTAATCCAACAATACGTGCTATGTGGGTGTGTCTCATCTGTTATGTGGAATATATATTGAATGAAAATGATATACAGGTTTTAAACTATGTATAAAAATGTATATTTTTATCTACTAATATGTTGGGTAGAACATGGGTAGATAGTTGGCGTGTAATAATAGATGAGAGGCCTCAATGTTGTTGTTGTTGTTGACCTAGTTATTCAACGGAGTATGGATAACGACCACAGACTCCTTCTAGACAGTCTCGTGGAACGCTAGCAGGTTCATAACCTGTAGGTGTTGTGAACGATGTGTTCACCGGTGTACTCTATCCCCCTCATGGTTGCCTTTAGGATATCTATTGTTGAGGAAACCCCTTAGCAGTAATGTCTGTCCCGATAAAAATCCTAGATTAGGTCCCTTGAGATAGATGTTGTTTTAGGGACGTAAAGTGAGGATAACGAGAATGGGTAATCGGGATAGTGATTGGTTGGTGAAATTAAATATAATTTATTTATTGTGGGTTGAAAACCCTATATGCTCACCAGGCTTGCAAGCCTGACCCACTCAGTTTTATTTGTATTACAGGAAGTGGAGCAAGGGCGTAAGATGGACGAACCATCAAGTTGTTTTGTTTACAAGTCTGTATATGTATATATTCGTTGAATGACTTGTAATGTTATTGTTTATGCTTAATGGTCTGTATCGGAACATGACACCCCGAGTTTTGAATATATAATGAAAATATATTTCTTTTATGAAATGCTTTGGTAAACGTTGTTTTATCATGTTTTGTTTTTGGGAACAAATTTCGCAACACTTTTAAATCAAAAGGATTTACTCTGAGATTATCTTAAAAAGCATAAATAAAATCGGTCTTTTCTGGCCGTGATTTTGAGGATATCACTCCATCTTATCATCACAATCACACCACATTTTACTTGATATACCTACCACACTACATCATCATTTTCAATAAAAAAAAAAATTAAAATAGTAGATGTTAGTTAAAATTGAAACATTGTATTATTATATTATATATAATAAAAACCAAGTGGTTTATGAATAGTATAGTTTTGAGTTTTAGAATTTGGATACAACAATTTTGTATGTTGTCAAGTTTGATCGTTGTACTAAATTTATTACAAAGTCTGTCTGACATCAAGTTGTTAGGACCTGAGTCGCTATGCGAACACTTAACACAAGACTGAAATCAAGACTAAAGTTATTACAAAGTTTGAACCTGTAATTCATAAAAATGTTTTTATATATGGGTTTTTAATAGAAATAATTTATTTGTTTAAATAGTATACTATTTGAGTTTGAAACTTTGGCCACAAGATTGTCATATGTTGGCAGGTTTGATCATTTTGTAGAAAATAAATTACAAAAATATCCCTATAATTTAAAAAAAATGGTCTACCTGTTTAAAAAAAATTAGAAAAATGGTCGTTGCGTGAGAGTACATTTACAGATTATTCCACTCAGCAAATTAGAGATTGGAACTTGTTAGTTTAACAAAAACAATTGAAAATTACTAATGTATCCCCCGGAAAGCAAGTGAGTGAGCAATTTCTAGTTAATTTAAATAAAAAGGAAAATTACAAAGCAGAAAAAAACTCACTATTTTGTTGCAATCCGTGGTGACAGGGATGGTGTGGACTGTGGACGGTCATGCGGCGTATATGGCACATTGGCCATGTATCCTTATCGAGTTTTGGTTTCGGTTCGGGTTTTCGGACCAAACCCTCGTCACTGCTTGCAACCATACCCATGACCTAATTATAGTAGTAGTTTTTGGAAATTTAAATACAGAAATGAATAATTGATTTATGATGAAAATACAGATATGATAACAAAACAACCGCGCATTATGTATCACACTGTAAATTTATATCATTGAACACACTTTATTTGAAGCATAAGACACAGGATAATCGGAAATGTTTAAAGAAAATTTCCACTTTATTCGTTGGGAATCCAAAAGACACAATCTCTTAGAATCTTTGCATCATGATCATATAAAATAAAACAAAACACTAAGTTGAGAGTAATTAAATTTCACAAAACGATACATATTCCTAATGGCTACTATGAATGCTATAAAACCAGACAATCGCGAGCGGACATCATAAACTCATTGCGTTGTTTCGTGAGCGTTCATTATTGCCTTATTGCTTGTTTCTGTTTGAACCTGTAGAGTAATGGCGAGTTGGGAAGGTGGAGCACCAGCAATTGGAATTGACTTGGGCACCACATACTCATGTGTTGCTGTATGGAAAAACAACAGAATCGAGATCATACCCAATGACCAAGGAAATCGAACGACGCCATCTTGTGTTGCTTTCACTGATTCTCAACGTCTAGTTGGTGATGGTGCCAAGAATCAAATTGCAAGGAACCCTGCTAATACTGTATTCAGTAAGTTTCAACATTCTATACATGATTTAATACTTTTATTGCATGGCTGATATGGTTAAGTAATGGAATTTTAGATGCAAAGAGGTTGATCGGCCGGAGGTTCAGTGATGTCATGGTGCAGGAAGACGTAAAGTTAATGCCATTCAGGGTCATAGAAGGGCCCGGCGACATGCCAAAAGTTGTTGTTACTCATAAGGGTCATGAACGACAATTTTCTACCGAGGAAATTTCATCAATGGTTCTAGTCAAGATGAAAGAGATTGCGGAGGGAGGCATATATCGGTTGCACTGCTGTCATCACTGTCCCGGCTTATTCCAATGACTGTCAGCGTCAAGCAACCAAGGATGCTGCTACTATTGCTGGCCTAAATGTCCTTCGCATGAACAATGAGCCAACTGCAGCTGCAATTGCTTATGGTGTAGACAATAGATTCAATGGAAAGAAGAATGTGCTTATCTTTGATCTTGGTGGTGGCACCTTCGATGTCTCTCTTCTCACCATTGATGGAGAGGGTAAATTTGAGGTGAAGGCTGTTGCTGGTGACACTCATTTGGGAGGTGAGGATTTTGACAACCGAATGGTAAATTATTGTGTTGATGATTTTAAGAAGAAATGGAATAAGGATTTGAGAGGAAATCAAAGGGCACTAGGAAGGTTGAAAGTTGGTTGTGAGAAAGCAAAGAGAATTCTTTCATATGATACTCAAGTTTCAGTTGAACTAGATGTGCTGCTGGATGGTATTGACTTTTCTATGAAGATTACTCGTGCCAAATTTGAGGAGTTAAATATGAGTTTCTTTGCGGAGTGTATCAAGCAAGTGGAGAAATGTTTAGTGGATGCTAATCTAAACAAAGGTAGTGTAGATGAGGTAATTCTTGTTGGTGGATCAACTAGGATTCAAAAGGTCCGAAGTATGTTACAGGAGTTCTTTGATGGGAAGGAGCTATGCAAGCAAATCAACCCTGATGAAGCTGTAGCTTATGGGGGCGGCAATTATGGCTTCCAATTTTGGGTCAGGCTACCAAGATGATAAAGGAGTTGATGCTATTGGATGTCACTCCCTTGTCCCTTGGTACAGAGGTAGATGGGGAAAGAATGAGTGTTATAATCCCAAGTAACACTCCTATACCAACCAAGAAAACAGGAACTTTTATAACAGCCTTTGACAACCAGTCTTCTATGGACGCAATGGTGTACCAAGGTGAACGGACTAGATCTAGTGATAATTTCTTGTTCGGATCGTTTACAATATCAGGAATTCCACCTGCCCCTAAAGGAGTTGCAGTAGTAGAGGATTGTTTTGAAATAGATGTTAATGGTATCCTTACAGTTACATCTAAGGTAGTATCCACTGGTAAGACCAAAAGCCTTACTGTTACCAATCTTTGTGGGAGATTGTCAAAGCATGAGATAGAGAAAATGATGAAAGATGCTGAGAAGTTCAAACTTGAGGACCAAGAGTTCAAGAGGAAAGCTGAAGCATACAATGCCTTGGAGGATTGCATATATGACTTGGAGAATAAGATTAAAATAAAAGATATGCCCCCAAAGGACTTGAAGAGCCTATGTAATGCAATTTCTGATACAAAGGAATGGCTTTCTACAGGTAAAGTTGCAGATGTTGATGAAATTGAGCGTAAGAAAGGGATCCTGGAGTTTATTGCCCGGCTTGCATTTTCTAACTAATTCCATACAATACTTACTAGGATGTGTGCTGAATTTTGGGATCAGAATTCTGTGATGTATTGGAGTAGATGTTTTTCAACTTGCTGCATTTTAGTTCAAACCCAAAGGAATCAAACCAAATGCTCTAGATCAATCAAAAATTTAAACACAAAATGCTAAAATAAAGCTTTGTCGCAACTGAAGGTCGTATTACGGGTTTTAAAAAGCGTCCTAACATGTGTTAATTGGTAATTGCAAATTATTTGTCAAGTACATATATGTACTTGTGATACAAACTTGTGGAGATGGTAATTGAACTATTCCAAATCAACTAACATGATTACACGACTTACGGAGTTACGGGTAAACATATTAAACGAAAAAGTGAAGGAAAACCTAATTAACTGACATGACCGAACCATTACTAAAAAAAGGTGTTTTTTTTTTTTTTTTTTTTTTTGATTAACCACATACATACGGTTTGGTTATGGTTTTCATTTAAAACCGAACCCCCAAAAACCGAACCGAATTGAGTAAAAAATATTATTAAAATTTTTCAATATAATATAATATTAAATATGTGGGGCAATATGACTTATTAAGGTAATTAACTTTTCGGTATGTTTACATTTGGGTAACTATTTTTTTTGTGTATACATGTAAGTAACAAACTTGTTGGAAGTGTTCACATATGCACATTATGACCTGCTATAGTAGGTTAAATCCTAGATGTGAATGCTTTCAACAAGTTCGTTACTCAGATGTGTACAAAAAAAAAATAACAAAACTGCACAAAATGGTCCATGTGGTTAGCTCAAAATTGTCATTTTGGTCCAAAAAAAGTTTGGATTAGCACCATAAGTCCAAACATTTCATTTTATTGTGAGTTTGGTCCAAAAATTTTGAAACATTTTATAATGATGGATTTGCCTTTTATTATTTTGTTTTATATTTTTCTTTTATTACAGTAATTAGAAAACAATTAAAAATAAAACAAAAATAAAATATTCTCTCTCTCTCTCTCTCTCTCTCTCTCTCTCGTCAAACGAAAACCAGATCTTAGATATGTTTCTTCTCTAGACTTTTCTCCTTAAACACTCAAGGAAGGGAAAATATAGGGAAGATCGAATAATGGAGAAAGAAAAAAATGAAATCAGAAGACGAAATCAGATCGAGTTCGTCGGTTCTCGGGTTCTTCATCTGAACACACACATGGTAATCTGAAGACGAAACGACGGAGGATAAAACCTTGAATCGAAATCCGACTCTTTGCCTCATCCCTCCAACAGTAGTCTCCAGTCACAAGCTCATGTCTTCGATGTCCTCAGACGAGAACGGATCTACGCCGGTGAAGTCTAGAAACCAGAATGGTGGCGACCGAAACCCTAATTTGTGAAGCTCCTCGAATCATCTCTCTGTAACAATGACTTACAAAGAATCAGAATAGATCAGATGATGAAGGAATAGTGGTTGGAGGAGGCGCTTATGAATGATTTGATTGTGGGTGAAAGGATGGGTGTTTGGGATTGTGACTTACAAAGAATTGAAACCCCTTATTTTTATCTCTCTTTTTTTGTCTTTTACATTTCCAGCTGTTAGGGATTGTGATAATGGAGGAATAAGGGAAGTCTTGGATGAGAAGGCTATGGTTTTACAGATCAGGTAATTAGTTCTTGTGATTCTACAAATCCTGTAATCAGGTGTTCTTGCGGGTTTATAAATCCGATTATTATTATTGCTTTACAAATCTGATTGTTCATGTGTCGATTTATATTGACCTTATTAAATCTAAGTTTGGTTTGAGCTTCATATATTTATGAAAAACTGAGATTAGTTGTTGTGGGTGTATGTGTATTGATGTTAGTTCAAATCTTCATCGGGTTCCCAGGTCTTCATAATGTTCATCTTCGTATGTTTGTATATAAATCAGGAAGGAAGATAGATGGTGTAAAATCTCAAGAACACTTTGATGGATCTAAACTGGACTTTGATCATTTTCTGGAAAACCGATTATAAGACTACCAAGGAGGATCTAAAGTCATCTGATGTTGTTTGTTTGATCATAACATTAGATATTTTAGCTTCGATCTGGGTGTTGACTTATTCTGATGATGATGTTCTTGATTACAGTGCCCATCAAACTTCACTGATTATCAAGATGATAAACAAATCCTTCAAAAATATTTGCCAAAAAAAACGAAGGTTTACAGATATAAACGATGGCGACGAGATCGGAGAAAGGGTTTACAAATGGACGGTGGTGGTGAAGACGATAAGGGCTGAAGGTGAAGCTGAAGGCGGTGGTGGCTGACGGTGGAGTCGACGATGAGGGGTTCTTGAGAACCATGAATAACAAATGAAGAAGGACAGAGAGAGAGAGTGTGTGTGTGTGTGTGTGTGTGTGTGAGAGAGAGAGAGAGAGTGAGAGTGAGAGAGAGAAAGGGAGAGGGAGAGAGAGAGAGAGGGAGAGGGAGAGAGAGAAAGAGATAGTGTGTGAGAGAGTAAGAGTGAGAGAGGGAGGGAGAGAGAGAGAGAGAGAAAGAGAGAGAGTGAGAGAGAGAAGAGAGAGAGATTTATTTTTATTTTTTATTTTTTTTAAATCTAAAAATCAGAAAAACAATTAAGAAAAAAGAGAAAAACATACATGGACAAATCCATCATTTTGAAAAAAACTAGAACAGATTGGACCAAACAAGCAACAAAATGAAAACTTTGGTCTTATGGTGCTAGTCCAAACCTTTTTGGGCCAAAGTAGCATTTTTGAGCAAACCATAGGGACCATTTGTGCAGTTTAGTAAAAAAAATAGTTACCCAAATATAAAAATAACGAAAAGTAAAAATTAAATTACACGAATGGTCCCCGTGGTTTGAGGGAATTTGTGTTTTTGGTCCCTAACTTATTTATTTTACTTGGATGGTCCCTACTGTTTATTTTTGTTGCACATTTGGTCCTTGTCTTACCTAGAAAGACTATTGTGCCCTTATTAATTTATTTTTTAATTAATTTTCTTATTTATGTATTTATTTTTTAAATATTAAAAAAAATTAATAGACCACACATATTTGTATCTCCTTGGATGATCTCTACTGTTTATTTTTAATTAATTTATTTTTTTAAATCGGATGGTTCCTACTGTTTAATTTTGTTACGAACTTGGTCTTTGTCTTACCTAAAAAGACTATTGTGCCCTTATTAAAAAATAATTAATAAGGGCACAATAGTCGTTTTAGGTAAGACAGAGATCAAACGCGCAACGAAAATAAATAGTAGGGACAATTTAAGTTAAAAAAAAAAGTTAGGGACTAAAAACACAAATTCCCCCAAACCATAGGGACCATTCGTGTAATTTAATTTTTACTTTTCTTTTTGTTCATATTTGGGTAACTATTTTTTTTGTACACATCTAGGTAACGAACTCATTGAAATCGTTCACATCTAGGATTTAACCTGCTATAGCAGGTCATAATGGTCATATATGAACACTTCCAACAAGTTTGTTACCTAGATATGTACAAAAAAAAAAAAGATAGTTACCCAGATATGAACATACCGAATAATTAATTACCTTAATAAGTCATATTCTCAATATGTGGTATATAATTATATTTTGAAATGAAAATTTAAAATGTAATTATTTGGATTTAAATGTGATACCTAATCTTTTTATCATATGAATAAGGTTATAAACACTGAATCATTCACTTTTTTTTAATAAAAATAAATATCTTTAATTTATGGTCATTGTTATCACAATAAAAATAGTGACAAGGCAAACTGATAGCAAGTTGTGCCGCTAAATCTTTTTGTATGATAAACCAATTCTTTTGAAAACTACATCTATACATCTAAGGGATATAAAATGCATGATATGTTGTACTTTGTTAAGAAGTTCCACCACGTCTGGTGTGAGGAAACCAAACATATCAAACGCAAATGATATGAACACATGTTGATTTTCCAAACACGATTTCTTATGTTTTGTGACATTGCATGTTGCAACTTTAAAAGCATCATGTTTCGCTTAGAAACCCCCATCCCTAGCCCACGAGAGGGGGTCCATACAAGCGTGTTTCCCTCTAGTCCATCCAAAATCCAAAACATCCGCTGATCTAAGGGTTAACTTTCCTTAAGTCTGGTCAGTCTAGAAATTAACAAGTTTATCTTTCTTGGTAAAAAAACCCCAAAACGCTTAAATATGTTAAACAAGACATACCTAACTATATTATGTCGGTATTTGAACCCCAAGATTTCTTTACAATGAACCACATACTATCCAATAAAGCTCTTAATGCATAAAGTCGACACCTTTATGCATTTGCATGACCTAAAGGGACCCAATAACCAATTTAATCCAATAAAACCCAACAAGAACATGCATGGACCTTATCTAAGCATCAAGCAAGCATTTTTATAAAATTATAACCTTAGATCTGCCAAGAGTGGCAACTCAAAGTTTCTGAAGTGGGGTCCAACCACTAGATCTCACTTAAGAGGTAAAAATGGGACCAAAACCCACATAATCATAGATATCAACTTCTAATGATCAAGCTAAGAACTTTTTACCTTCAATGAGTTGAAAATGCAGCAAAGAGTCCAGATCTACGAGCCTTTCCTTGAACCACCACCTTGTACCAAGCTTCCACTTCTTGAAATGCACTAGAATCCACCAAAAATGCACTTACAAGGCTCACAAAACTCTTAGATGTATCTATAGCTCGAGATTAAGGGTTTAAGACAATGGAGGATGAAAGAGAGGCTCACACCATGGGCTTAACGATCTTAAATAGTGAGCCAACCCTAGAAATTAGGGTTTCAGAGCTCAGCACACTACGATGGGTGTAGTTTTTGTATGTTGGGTGTACTGCTCTAAGTCCCGCGTTTCACTTATCCAGCACTACGTTGGGCATACTCACGTGCGTGCATCCTTGCATGCATGGGACCGCCTTGCCAAATATTTCCATTAGGGAAATAACTGCCAATAACTTCAAAATACCATAACTCCCTCGTCCTACGTTCGTTT